CTCTCTCTCTCTCTCTCTCTCTCTCTCTCTCTCTCTCTCTCTCTCTCTCTCTCTCTCTCTCTCTCTCTCTCTCTCTTCTGCGCTCTCTCTCTCTTGCGCGTGTGCGCTCTGAGCCGCCTGATATTGGAACTCGATTCTTGTATAAGAATAACCTTTGTAGTGTTTTCATCGCGCAGCGGAAGCTGTTTTTACCATCTCATGACTTTGCGAATCTTCCATGAATGTCCCGTGTGATGTGAGTGGAAAATTGAGCTTGTAATTGAGCCGGGTTCATTCTACTTGGTTCTACACCATGCCTATCAACAGATATGCATGCAACACTCTCTCGAAATATTGGCATGCGACATCTCTCCCGCTCTCTCTGATAGAAGATAAGTGGTGGAGATGGATGGTGAGGAGAAAGAAGAAGAGGAGGAAGAAGAGGGAGAGTCTCTCCTCTCTCTCCCTCTCTCCCTCTCGTGACCAGATTAGTGACCAGCGAAAGATGAAGTGTTGAGCTGTCTTGTGCTGCATGTGGAAGGTCGGCTACAGACGGTGTAGAAGATCCAAGCTGTGGCATCCAGGTGAGTGCTCCAGCACTGCACTGCTGCTGAAGCCATCCTCTCCTCTACTCCTCTACTCACTGCCTACACTCTAGCGCTAACTCTACAACGCCACCCGTATACTGCTGCTAATAGAGCATCCTGCCGAAGTTTAACCTCAACACTGCGTGTCCAAACCAAACCCAGGCCCAGCTATATACAGCTGGGCCAACTGGAACTGGCCTAGGCCTGTGTCATAGGCCATCCAATCGGATCTCCGTCTAGGACGCAGGCTGACATAATGGTCCGAGCGCTGGTGGCCTAAAATGGCCTGCATGGGTGGCTATCAACATCCCTGCCACCATGATAGAGTGGTGCAGAGCTTTAAACCACCCGTACACTCGGGCCTGAAGGCGCTCCACTGCGTGCCACGCTTTGCCGCCAGCAGTGCACTCTTTTTCTTTTATTGGCTGGCGCCACCAGGCATTGTGGTCAGGTAGGGCTGAGGCGCGGAATTTTCGAACAGGTGACAAAACGTTTTCAGCAAGGCTGGGGCCATGTACTGGCGGTTTAAGATCAATACCATGGGGCCATGGGGTACTTTGATTACACTCTGATTGGCCTGGACAGGGTTTAGGGGTTTTGCCTTTAAACCACTAGTACATGGCCCCAGCCTTGTGGAGATTTTGCTTGTCAGTTACTCCAAAAATATCGGGTGGTAGAGCAAAGGGGGAGAAAGCTGGTGGCCCACGGAAAAGGGGCAAATGGACAGCGAGAAGTCCTGGTGGTTTAAGCCATGCACATGTTTCTACACGCGCGACTGGAGCAATCAATTCCCTCAGCCCCTTCCATTTCAGGGCATTTTGACAATAGCACATTTCAGAATGTATCTGACCACAGTTCTGGGCACCCGTGGATGAATCTGTAAGGCAATTGTGAGGAACGAGCCCTCAAGGGGCCCTATCAGACATCGTATGTTCTGGGCTAAGGCCCCCAGCAAGCCAAGTGCCCACCCTAAGTGAAGGCGGGCCTGAATATTCGTCACAGGCCAAAATTCGACATTTCCATATGTGGGTATTCAGGCTCTTGCAGCGCGTCAGTTGGTTGAGTGAACGCGCGAGCCTCACTAAGCTGCGTCATACAGTTGGCCCAGGCCACGAAAGTTGTGTCTGGGCACATACACACAAAGCAGGGCCGATACATTGAGAAGCAGGCCGTCGGCCTTGGGAAAAGCAGTACTGCCGACGCATCTATCTGAGGCCCCTGCGCAGATACATCCCAGGCCGTGCCCAACTGAAAAGAGCCCAGGCCCTCAACTGTAAGTCTCGGGCCTGGGCACAGGGTCTGAGGCCCAACCGGAAGCTACTGGAAGCTTCCAGCCAGGCCAGACGCAGCATCCAGCACGCGGCCACTTCCATAAAGGAAGTAGGGCAGCCCAGGTAAGACAGACTGGCCAGCGCTGGCAATGCGGAAGTGCTGCTGCGCTTCTGCAGCCCAGGCAAGACAGACTGGCCAGCGCTGGCAATGCGGAAGTGCTGCTGCGCTTCTGCTTGATGCTGCGCTAATGACGGAGCGCGAGGAGGTGAGTGGGGCACTGCAGGGCAGCGGGGCGCAGGTGGCCATAGCCGGGCTGCTGGGCGCCAGAGGGGTACAGTGGATGATCGGGTGGTCTTCAGGGAAGGAGGCGCTGTGTGGGGTAATCAAGGTCTGATTGAGGGTGACGAGTTACGTACCTGGTACATGAAGAGAGGTCGGTGATGGGGTTGGCAGTCATGTACATTGGTCTTCGAGAGTCGAAGTGATCCTGTTGCGTGAACCGGCTGTAGGTAGGCTAGTCAGGTAGAGTAGGCTGGGCGCCGAGCACCAGACAGGAGAGAGCGACTTGGGATACTGTGTTGGTGTGGCCTACGGGCTTGGACATTGGCTCATTACTTCATTGTATTGCTCTATATGAATGGTTTTCTCGGTGCATTTGTCCTCTCTGCTTGGGACACGACTACTGGTTCAGCTGTGTGATTTCGCAACTTGGTTTCGTGTATATCGCTCACACTCATATTCCTTGCACAATCACGTTCGGAGCTTAGTATGCCCTTTCTTCTTTTGTTGTTTAGGAAAGAAGAATCTCAGCTGTTTCTGATGTGACTCCCCATGAGAGGTGGGGAGCAATTGATTCACTGTCAGGTCCTTCCATTTCAGGGCATTTCACACTAGCACTTTCCAGAATGTATCTGACCGCAGTTCTGGTCAGCCTTGGAATCGTGGATGAATCTGTAAGGCAATCACTCTCGGACCTTAGTATGCTACTATGCCCTTCCTTTT